ATGTCAGAATGAACTCTCATGCCTCAAAGTGCAGTTGCAGCACAACTCTGACCCTTCTGATGTGGGAGAATAAAGGCAATGGAAATATGACCTCCAGACCGCGGTCAGAGCTGTCAGTGTCTCTCTTCAGCTCCTGCGGTGGCTGGGCACAGACCATGTCCCTGCTGTGAGTGAGACAGATAGATGCACTAGCAGATAAACAGAAACACAGGCTTCAGTCCTTGATCGCTGGATTGGAGGAGAGAGTTTATCCGACCACAGCCAAGCAAGAGAATACTGGACAATAACACAAATTAAACATTCCTGGAAAAGAGGTGGGCACTTATGTGAAAACTTTTTTTTATATATGAACTGGAATTTGAAGTGAATTGGCCACAACCTACAGGAAACTGAATTGGAATTGGAATCGGAATGACAGGAAAAGGAATTCACTGAATTGCAATTCAAAGAAATTCAACAAAGGAAATTAAGTGTTCTTCCACCAAAAGTTAATCTATTAAATATGATGAAATATATAAACAAACTCCACATTTCTAGGTGACATTTAATCTATCTATCTATCTATCTATCTATCTATCTATCTATCTATCATCTCTGTAAGTCCTATAGACCTTCAAACTTTAAAGCTTTTAAAACTTTTTTCAAAACTTCCAAATAATCTATTTTCAAGGCAACATTCATAGTTTTTCTTTGCTATTCTTTTCTAGTTAACAATTACAGTCATATTAATTTCTCTGAATGTGCTTAATTCTACTTTGTCACATTTGCATTGCAATTATTCAATTCAAATTTTGTCGTCTGACAAAATATATGATTTACTCTCTTAATGCATTTCTAGGTTGTTCTGAGTGGAAAAGCACACATGCTTACTGATATAAAACTCATTTGAATGCAATTTTTCCCAGGTCTCCGGTATTTATATCTGAAACCATGGTCAGTTCACCTCTGTCCTGGCGTTTTGGGTCAGTCTGAGACAGAGGCTATATTAGAATGCATTGTCATCTTTTAGTGCTGTGTCTCTTTCTCAGCGCCGTCTGCCCTCATCCTATCCGAATGACAATAGTGTTTATGTAAAATGTGCTGCCTTTGGGCCACTGGGGCAGAGAACACTGCATGCCTGGCCCTGCCACACCACCTTTTACAGCTTTTTATTGTGTTCCCTTTGTGCCCCGTCGTCACAAGGGGAGGACGCGGCCATCAAAATTCTCCAAGACAAAATTCTTCACAATGTGTGAATGCATGTGCACGCACACGTATCCGGAACAATTAGTTCGGGGCATGGCGTACTTAAATATGGAGACGACGTTCCCCGATGCCGTCAGCAGGCCCGACTCTGACACAGCTGGTTTTCCTTGAAGTTAATACAGACAATATAGACCTTAATAAGACAAATCCACCTCTCTGAAACTCAGTGCTCACACCCTTTCATTCTTATTCCCTCCCAGCCTCCTCTCTCTCTCTCTCTCTTTCACTCCCTCTGTTTCTTTCTTTCTTTGCTACATTACCAGGGGGTGGTGCATGATTGACAGATGGGCAGGAATAATAATTTTTTTTTTGTTTTTTTTTTGCGTAACCTAAGGCCATGCTCTGTGATTGGCTTGCCAGCTGACATCTCCAAACCTCGCTTGTTGTTTTTTTTCCCCTCTCTCTCTCACTCTCTCTCTCTAATATTGGCCCTGATGATCCTAAGGGGAAAAAAAGTGGGGAGAGAAAAAGATATGTACCTTAGGGAAGAACCTCAGTGAGAGGGAGGGAATCAGAGGACGAGTAGGAGCGTGTGTGCGAGTGTGTGAAAGAGACACTTACTCTCCTAACTACTGGGACACACACACACTTTCCTCACCCAACTCAAAGAAGCAGCAAACCCTGGAGATTTTTTTTGCCTTCATTTAAACCACAAAATTGCTAATTATTCTCTCAAGCATCCATCTTTTCCTTAAGACTTGCCGGCTGGAACTTAATTTTCAGCCCCTCTCTAGGAATTCTATGTACTGATCAATAGACAATTTCCATCCACACAAGACATACCTCATGGATTTGTACCTGGTTGGATATCTCATGTGCATGTGGTTGTCCAGCTCTCGGGTGCTTGGAGGCTATCCCATCTGGTGGTGAGTAGCAACAATCCCCACTTTCTGCATCACTTTCTCCAGTAGCACTGGGGGAGAATGGTGGTCAGTGATCATTTTTCAGAGGGCAGTAAATACAGAACACTTTCAGTTGACTGCGTGGAAAAAAGCTTCTCGACTCAGTCCAAAGAATCTTAACCTCAGCCACTGGAGGGACGGAAAAGGCTAGCCTGTCTTTTTCCTCGCTGCCATGTTTCACCCGGCTCCATTTATTTTGAATGTTCGAACGAGGCTGTTTTTGAAGGTTGGAGTGTTGTGAAATAGATGCGGTGTGTTTGTCAGAGATAAGGTTAGGTTAAGGTGTCAGCCAGCAGGCTGCTGGATGGGGTATATTGTTGTCTTCGCTAATAGCCTCAGCACTCCAGCCGTGTTAGGAGTGTTAATTGGGGCATTAGTGTGGATGTCCCTTGGCTTGGGTCTCAATAAATTCATTGAGGTTTAACCCTAAGTATCATTACACTTTAAACCTGAAGCTGCTTTGAACATTTATTTTTCTCTAAAGTCGTTGTGTTGTGTATTACAATCGTATCTGTGATTTGAAAAGCAATGATTAACAACATAACAACAGACTTTCCAAATAAGAGCTCACTTTCCAGCATAATTCGTACAAAGTATACTGAACTGGGCCGCATAAAGATATCACACATACTTGTACTTTTCAGATTATTAATTTGAAATCAAAACTGTTCAAATCATTATGACATTAAAAATTGAGACTAAAGTAATTTCCTTTTAATGACCTATTATAACTAAAATTCTTCTTTCATTTGTTTCTCCATTTAAATATAGAAACAAATGAAATAATTAGCTACTTTAATCCTGCAATATTAATGAAATATATTAAAATAATGAATATAATACTGTATTTTACAGAAACAAATAAATGACATATCATTGTATATATTTATAACAGAATATTTTTATTTTAATATATATATATTTTTTTTTTTTTTTTCTCCATTTGTTCAAATTATGTTATTCCGATTTGACAGGTTAATACTGTTAAAGCACTTATGTTCAGTAGATTTCGCTACATTCTGCAGAGATCATATTTACCTCCGAATAGTGCTGATATGTCATAGTTCCACTAATTACCCCATCCTCAAAATGCCACTGACCTCACAAGGTTCTCTTGTAACATGAGGCTTTTTGCAAAAATATTTGTGTAGGCGTACGACAAAAGCCCCCCTGGCTCATGATACAATACTTGTCAGAACTAATGTGCTTTAGTAGTCCCAGTTAGCATGTGGTCCCCGCTGCACTCTCGTTCCAAACCACCAGCATCTTCTGGTTTCGTTTATGAAGCGAGAGTTGCCAAACATGCAGTCGCACTCATAGCCTTACACACACACAAAGGCCATGGGGCTGAAGCATTATTATGTGCATGGCTTCACTCGTATGTTGGCGTTTAGTGCCACCAGAAGAAACTGACAAAGAGCAAAGGAGTCTCGAGTCATTGACCCGCAGCTGTTTTCTCTGACAAAGGTGTAATATTTACCCACTGACAATGCATAACTTCTTTGATTTGGATAAATGGATAAAGTGGAGGGGAGCGAAAATGAGAGCGTGAGAAAGAAAGTGATACGAAAACGTAGATGGCTGCAGGTAAATAGGTAGATGCGTCATCATTTCTTGTCTTCTATCTGAAGGAGTCTGAATGGCATCGGTGAACATGCAGTCCTAAAAAAAAACAGAAATAGATTAATAGAAAATAATTTGAATGTAGCAGGAGAAATAGCTCTACTGAAGGATTTCAATAGACATTAACTTTCAAAAACTAGTGGTGCTATGTAACAAAATGTGATGAAACAAATAGTGCTTTCGTGTCTATATACAAAATCAACTTCATGATTTTACATGACACAGGCACACATTTGGTTAGTAGTTATTCCTAACAAATTAGTTTTAGTCCAAAAATAATAACATAATACAAATAATAGTCAATAATATAACTATTTGTATAATAATGTGACTGAATCAACCTTAAAAATAGGCTATATTAGAAACAGAAGTAATATGCGACCCTGGACCACAAAACCAGTCGTAAGTAGCACTGGTATATTTGTAGCAATAGCCAAAAATACATGGTATGGGTCAAAATTATCGATTGTTCTTTTATGCCAAAAATCATTAGGATATTAAGTATAGATCATGTTCCATGAAGATATTTGGTAAATTTCCTATCGTAAATATATTGAAACTTCATTTTTGATTAGTAATATGCATTGCTAAGAACTTCATTTAGACAGCTTTAAAGGCAATTTTCTCAGTATTTAGATTTTTCGCACCCTCAGATTCCAGATTTTCAAATAGTTGTATCTCGGGCAAATATTGTCCTATCCTAACAAACCATACATCAATGGAAAGCTTATTTATTCCACGTTCAGATGTATATATCTCAAAATAAAATCTAATTTTACCCTTATGACTGTTTTTGTGCTCCAGGGTCACATATAATATAAACAGTAATAATTGTGTGTGTGTGTGTGTGTGTGTTCAGTTTTTTTAAATGAGTAAATCAAATGTATTTTTGTCCTAGAGTGAGAATTTAATTCATCCTGGTAGATCCTCTGCCTTTAATCCCTTCACATCTGAATGGACTTTAAATCTATGATGAACAGAGCTGCAATAATCAGGCCGATTTCTTCCTTAATCGGTTTCAACAGCTTACCAGGCCGCTAATATCTGACTTTATCCTCTCAAGATGAACTAATTAAGCTCAGTCTTAATCAGCGAGAGCTCTTGGAAGCAATCAGCCTGTCTAGCTCTGTTCAATTTCACATGCATTACAGATGACGAGCAAGCTGAGACACAATCACTCCGAATACCGCGAGTGTGTGAAAGAGACACTTACTCTCCTAACTACTGGGACACACACACTTTCCTCACCCAACTCAAAGAAGCAGCAAACCCTGGAGATTTTTTTTGCCTTCATTTAAACCACAAAATTGCTAATTATTCTCTCAAGCATCCATCTTTTCCTTAAGACTTGCCGGCTGGAACTTAATTTTCAGCCCCTCTCTAGGAATTCTATGTACTGATCAATAGCAATTTCCATCCACACAAGACATACCTCATGGATTTGTACCTGGTTGGATATCTCATGTGCATGTGGTTGTCCAGCTCTCGGGTGCTTGGAGGCTATCCCATCTGGTGGTGAGTAGCAACGATCCCCACTTTCTGCATCACTTTCTCCAGTAGCACTGGGGGAGAATGGTGGTCAGTGATCATTTTTCAGAGGGCAGTAAATACAGAACACTTTCAGTTGACTGCGTGGAAAAAAGCTTCTCGGCTCAGTCCAAAGAATCTTAACCTCAGCCACTGGAGGGACGGAAAAGGCTAGCCTGTCTTTTTCCTCGCTGCCACATTTCGCCCGGCTCCATTTATTTTGAATGTTCGAACGAGGCTGTTTTTGAAACTCGGAGTGTTGTGAAATGAATGCAGCGTGTTTGTCAGAGATAAGGTTAGGTTAAGGTGTCAGCCAGCAGGCTGCTGGATGGGGTATATTGTTGTCTTCGCTAATAGCCTCAGCACTCCAGCCGTGTTAGGAGTGTTAATTGGGGCATTAGTGTGGATGTCCCTTGGCTTGGGTCTCAATAAATTCATTGGGGTTTAACCCCGAGTATCATTACACCATGAACCCGAGGCTGCTTTGAACATTTATTTTTCTCTAAAGTCGCTGTGTCGTGTATTATAATCATATTTGCGATTTTAATTTTTGATTTTGATTGTCCAAATAACCAAATAAGAGCTTGTTTTGCAGCATAATTTATGCAAAGTATATTGAAATGGTCCACATACACATATCACACATGCTTTAATAATGGTAATTTGTTTAGTTTATTCATTTGAAATCAAAACATAACATCAAGACATTCAAAACTGAAACTAAAGTCAAAACCTTTCATAGACTTAATATATATAAAATTATTTTATATATAGGTTGAGTTTAGCTATATAAATATATAAACAAATTAAATAATTAACTACTTTAGTCCTGCAATATTACTAAAATATATTAAAGTTTGAAAAATAACAGAATTTAATATTTATTTAAAAATTTTAATGTCATTTTTCCCATTTGTTTGAATTCTGTTATTCCGATTTGACATTAGGCTAGTCCTGTTAAAGCTCTTATGTTCATTAGATTTCGCGACAGCAGAGATCATATTTACCTCCGAATGGTGCTGATATGTTATATTATATCATAGTTCCACTAATTACCCCATCCTCAAAATGCCACTGACCTCACAAGGTTCTCTTGTAACATGAGGCTTTTTGCAAAAATATTTGTGTAGGCGTACGACAAAAGCCCCCCTGGCTCATGATACAATACTTGTCAGAACTAATGTGCTTTAGTAGTCCCAGTTAGCATGTGGTCCCCGCTGCACTCTAGTTCCAAACCACCAGCATCTTCTGGTTTCGTTTATGAAGCGAGAGTTGCCAAACATGCAGTCGCACTCATAGCCTTACACACACACAAAGGCCATGGGGCTGAAGCATTATTATGTGCATGGCTTCACTCGTATGTTGGCGTTTAGTGCCACCAGAAGAAACTGACAAAGAGCAAAGGAGTCTCGAGTCATTGACCCGCAGCTGTTTTCTTTGACGACGGTGTAATATTTAGCCACTGATAATGCCTAACCTCTTTGATTTGGATAAATTGATAGTGGAGGGGAGAGAAAATGAGAGCGTGAGAAAGAAAGCGATACGAAAACGTACATGGCTGCAGGTAAATGGGTAGATGCGTCATCATTTCTTGTCTTCTACCTGAACGCCATCAGTGAACCTGCGGTCCTAAAAAAGAACAGGAATAGATTAATAGAAAATAATATATGTAGCAGGTGAAATATCTTTACAGAGTGATTTAAATAAACAAAAACTTTCAAAACTAGTGGTCCTATGTCACAACACGTAATAGATGATATTTTTAAAATGCAATGAATTTTTGTGATAAAAATAAATCTTGCTTTCATGTCTACATTCAGAATCTGTCTTTTGATGTCAAATTCATGATTTTGACACAGGCATTTATTCCTAAAAAATTTGTTTTAGGAAAAAATATATAATATAACAATTAAATAATAATCAATAAAATAACTTTTAGTATAATAATGTGACTGAATCAACTTGACTTATATTAAAAAATAAAAAAGGCTATAGTAGAAACAGAAAAAACATCATATAAGTAGTGATAATGGTGTGTTTTCAGTTGTTTTAAAGGTGTCAATCAAATGTATTTGTGTCTTATAGTGAGATTTTAATCCATCCTGGTAGATCCTCTCCTTTTAATCCCTTCACATCTGAATGGACTTTAAATCTATGACGAACAGTGTTGCAATAATCAGGCCAATTTCTTCCCTAATCTGTTTCAACAGCTTACCAGGCCGCTGATATCTGACTTTATCCTCTCAAGATGAACTAATTAAGCTCAGTCTTAAGCAGGGAGAGCTATTGAAAGCGATCAGCCTGTCTAGCTTTGTTCAATTTCACATGCATTACAGATGATGAGCAAGCTGAGACACAATCAGCAGTCACTCCGAATACCAGACAGAAAGGAACAAGGTGTTTGTGGCTTCTTCCCACAACAGCACCGCAAAGCCGGCATCCGTTTGGATCCAGCTGGCTGTTTCCACCGCCGATCATCTGTTATCTATCAGAACCTCAGCTCGGTTACAACACAACAGCTCAGAAGAGGCCTGACCTCAGATGATCAAGTCACGGCTTGACCTGGAAACACTTCAGTAGCTCTTGTTATCTGAAGTACCCGTCAAAACAGTGGAAATGATCCACTCAAAGCCATATACACTTTTAAATATTAGAGAGGTTAATTGGTTTACAAGTCCACCTTTATAAATATTTTTTATAGTTTAATAATTTTTTATAGGTTTTTTTATCGGTTTTTTTTTATAGTTTACTCATAAAGTTGCCAAAAACTAAACTAGCTAAAAAGCTAAACTGATAGTTAAATTTAAATTTTTTAACACATAATATGGATTTTAAGCTGCTCTTTTTGTAATTGCAACAATGTGGCTCACATTTAAGAATATATAGGCTTTTATTCTTAGTTCTCAAAAGGAAAGAGTCCTTTCAGATGGCAACATACGCAAACACTTAAGATAAAACTCTAATTCTGAATTAATTAAAATTCAGAAAACTCTTTTTTGAGAGAATAGGCATGAAGGAGACAGCATCGGGAGGCCAGTCAGCATTCTGACCTGCTCTGGTCCCCTGCTGGCTTCAATGGGACTTGACTCATCTCTGCGAGAGAGGAATGTCATTATACACCCTTCATACCAAAGCCCCCCTTTGCATGTCAGCCAGTGTCACTGCTTTAATGATACTGCAAGAAAATCCACCAGCTGCAATTCAGTGTGAAAAGATCAAGGATGTTCAGGGATAATGGGGGCCTCTTAAGAAAAGAAGGGTGAAACAGATAGAAACCTGGTCAGAAGAGTTTTAGTTTTCAAATGTATTAGTTCAATATCAGTAGCAAACCAGTCAATTGTATTGTTGCACAGCAATTGTGTGGGATGATTTAGGTAAACTGGAAAAAAATTGGTGGTTACTTTAAAACAAATTACACTTTTTGAAATGGCTAGTAAATTTCATAAATAATTACAAAGAAATGGCAAGTCCCACATTGAATTAAATGTGAAATTCTGAAGTAAAAAAAGTATTAGTATTAGTATTAGTTCAGCATTCTTTTAGATATGCTCCAATAATCTATTTTACTGTCAACTAAAAAAAAAAAAAAGTTCTTTATCGTGTACGCAAAAATAGAAAAAAGTAATAAAAACCATCTAACTTCTATTTAAATCACAGTTTTTGTCACAACTACTTGTGGGCCCCGTCTACCGTGAAATCTCATTGATCCAAAATTCTGCTCAACATAACTGTATATTAAAAGCACTAAGCACTCATTTTGATTATTTGCTTGTTAGGACACTGAAAAAGGTTTAGTATGCCACTGTTTTCACTGACTGACACGCATGCACAGAGGTGCCTTATTAAATAAACTGGATTAAGAAGAAGAACGCACAGTTACCCTCATTCAGGGTTCGATGATGAATGGGTATGGACAACACCTGTGCTCTCTGGATCATCCAGACAACCTGAGGTTATCTCTGAAGTCATCCTATCACACACACACATTAAATAGTGACAGTGGATGAGACAGAGATGGCTGGTGTGTGTCTGTGAGAGAGAGAAAAGTGGGAGGTACACTATGCGTAATTCTCTCATTAAAGGAAAATCTTTTTAAGTTTTAGTAGAAAAGTTACAAAATATTAATTACATTTTTAAACATTGTAATAACAATAAAAGTACATTAGACTGCCCGGTCTGCAAATACCACATTTTGACATTTGGCTACTGTTTGATCAGGCTTCCGAATGGAATTGGGGGAAAAAAAACATTTTGGCTCTGGTGAAAACCAAACTTCTAAGTCCATCTCAGTTCTCTTTAGAAGGGCTTTAGGGAGTTGTGTAATACATCACAACTTTAATCAAAAGTGTCAGGTCACTTACGCAGGGACTGCTGGTGGAGTCAAAGCTCTCTGACAGCTCTGCTAGTTGAACAGTGACAGGCAGCAGCTCCCGGAGACAGAGCCACAGAGCCGTAATGTCACAGTAATTTCCGTACTACAGCACCAGGCCAGCAGTTTCAGGATTGAGGTTTAGCATAGAGCTAACGACAACAAGCTATCATACTGCCCTTACATCACTTGGAGACTTGCACAAATAGTAGTACCATAAAAAAAACATTCCCCTGCTGGAAAATCAAGCTTAAGCTGGTAGTTGTATTTTGGCATGTGGTATCTGGTTTAGGCTTGTCATTAACCTACTACTAGCTGAGGTAACTGGCTTCAGGAAGTCTGGAAGCCAGCTTGGACCAGTTAGAAACCAGCTACTATGTTTCATTCAAATGGCCTTCACATGCTTGCAACTACTGTTGTCCTCTCTCGGTATGCTTCTTAAGTTAGCTAGCTACCATTTGAATCTTGTATTTGATTCTGCCCACAAAATATTTTAATAAAACCATTTCTCCCACTGAAATAAACAACAGTTTGGAACTACAGTTATTTTGATCATTATATCAGACAACGGTCCAGTGGGTGGGCACCTCCCACGAAAAATTCACAGAAAACAGACACC